CGCCGTCGGCGCACGCCGCGAAGCGTCGTGACGCCTCGCGTGGCAGGACGAACCGATCCACTGACGTAGAACTGGGACGTGGCGGGACTAACAGGGCCAAGGTGTCTACATTCCACCTTTTCATAATCCTTCGTAGTCCGCGATATCCTCGAATTTTCGTTCCAATTAGTTTCCTTTCGTTTCGTCGTGTTTCTAACTTTAGCAACTTGTGGGATATGAGTATTTTTATAAAAAAAATTCTACGCCCTATTTACCCCTCCATGATCCACGTTTCCAAAAATCCTTTCTAATCCTAAGTTTACGCTTTAATAAAAAGTGTATTCTATCGAAATATCACGCTTCTAGGTACAACAATTTGGGCTGCACGTGGATGAGCGAGTGTCACTCATTTGTGTGTCACTTTTGCATTTTATACATGTAGATTGTATCGTATTATATCAGAATCTTGAGAGAGTAAGAGAGCGTATTCCACAGCCTGAATCGTCGCTATTCACATTGTTACGCTTAGCATCGATACATCTAACGATACTTGTGGCTCAACATTGTTTGAGGTTTCCGGGTAAGTGGCGTGTCCAAAAGGTAGAGGATTCCAACGTTTCGCCCAGCATCGTAGTTGGTTACATGAAGATATTGGCACTGATACCGGTGACCACCAAGAACAGCGTGAACAGCGTATATAATATTATATTTCACATTTTATATTACGCATATACGAAATGTGTATGTCAACGTTCAATTCGTAATCAAATTAAAATCGATACCGTACTTGATACATTATCAGTTTGAAGATAATTCAATGTCAACACTTATCCGAACGTTATTGCGTCTATTAGAGTTTGAGGCTTCCCGAGGTTTCGCCATCCTTTCAATTAGCTTCATCGGAATTCGCAGGACGCGCTATCAATCCTTCGTATTCAACCGTAGCGCTGTTAAGTACAATAACGTTGTTAAGCGTGATAACCCAAACTTCTCTTATGGCGCTCTTATGGTTCGGTATTTTCATCGAGATAACGACCATTGGAAAATAATCTGTGATAATAAAGGAAAAAGAGTTACATGGTAACCTGACGTAGAATCATGGGTTATAGAATTGTTGAATCCTCTAACGTTGTGAAACATAGTGTTTTGCTAATTCCTTAACATAATTTATCGAGTTAATGCAGTTGAATTTGCGAGCTGTTTAATGTCATTGTTCGTTTGTTGTTCTGCATTTTCGATTTAAATGATATCCTGGAAAAAATCGAACTGTACCATAACGATGAAGGCTTCCGGTTTACCGCACGTCCAAAGGCCTGCGAATTGTGGCTTCTTTTACTACCAGTGAGTTTTACTATTGATTATTTGATATATATCTCTAGACATAACGCGATGGAATGCTTCTTTTGTTTATTTAGAACATTTTATTAGTTTGGATACGGATCAACGGTTCTCACGTGATATCTCACGTGAACATGGATATCATTATTGATGCCAGGAGTCATGTTAACAGCATTCTACTCTATGATAGGGAATATCAGCTCGATCCGAGACCCGAGAAGTTCCCAACTGACTTACACACGAACGTATGACACGATAGATGTATGGTAGTATCATGACAAATGTATAGTAGACATGTACAATATCACAGGAGCGGCCTGCAACTCGAATTAGTAATGCAAACAGTATATGCAGTACATAAGATAGTTATACGGTATCTGGCAAGCAGATCTGATAATTTTTTAGATTCCTAGAACTTTGTAACGTTTCTGTTAAATTAATGTTATACTAACATTGTGAATTCGAAATCTCTGAATTCAATTGAACGTTAATTCTCCACCCTTGAAATTACAACTGCTTTTTACTTGCTATACTTTAAAATTTAGTTTACTTTTTCCCGAAGCGTTGCTTGTATACGATATTTCAAATAATCTTATCAACGTAATCAAACGTTCGTAAAAAATTCTAAGAAGGAAAATCTTCGAATGCAATAAAAAAGATATCAACGTTGGTAATATCAGTGTCGTCTAAAGTACTGTGTTTCCTTTCTCAAATCGTCTGTAAATAATATATGCAATACCGCTTGTATTATAATTACAGCTCCCATTAAAAGAAGATTAACACGTGGCGCTTGGTTTCTTCTTAATCAGTTGTCTGGCCAGGAACGACGAATTATTTTCGTGGTGCACGACACGCCTTAGAAGGGGTCACGAGACCTAATTACACAAAAGCGTGGTCCCCAAGTGTGAGTCACGTGTTCCACCGACGCCGGAACGTGTATCGAGATGGAACAGCACGTCTGCTTGAAACAAAAACCCTTTGTAAGCACGAGAACTTTTCTGTTCGAAGAGACGTCCCCTTTTTGGGGACGTGCATTGCACACCTCGACTCGCACGCCCTTTGTGCTAAAACGTCCCCGTTTTGTTGGGCAATTCTACAGAAGCTCGAAGGTTTAAATTCCCGCGTTTAAAAAAGCAATTCGTTCAAGTTTTCCTTTTTGTCTTTCCTATCGTCGTACCGGTGAACGAATACTTGAACGAAGATTTTTAAAATGATAAAACATAAAATTCTCGAAGGAAAAATCTACGACTGGTTTTTGCCTTTCGTAAACAAATTATGAAAGATTATTACCCGAAAGAGAAATATTCCTATTGATATAGCGTTCACTGTATATCACGAACGAAGCTATCGCTCGTTTAATCAATCGGAAACACAAAAGACAAAGGCGTACTTCGTACAACCGACTCTTTCTCATCGGTCTCCCCTGTCTTCAACCCCTGCACGACAATCGACGTGTCCGCATAAAATTACCGTGAAACTTTCGCCTGTCCTTCGACTCAATTTACCATATAGGTTTGTTCCAATCGATTCTCGGCCAGCGGTTGTTCGTTAACACGAAAACTTGAGCCTCCCGATACGCAATAGCGGTCGAGGCGAAGTTAGTCCACAGTCCACGGTTAGTAAAGGCGAAACTACGGAATAAGTCGCTACTCGCTGGTGCTCGATGCTTCAACATACGGAATACCGTTTCCCGTTTTCATTGAAAACGAGCAATTACTCCGTACTCGATACTTTCTTACGGAATTATATGCGAAGGTAAAAAATAATTCCAGTCGATTCTCCATTCGTTTTTACTTCGATCGGTTAACGTCAGAAAGCTACCGCTTCGTTTTAAATACTCTGTCAGTTCAGTCATTTTCGACTCGCTTAGTCGCATCTTTTTCATTACTTAAAAATCTGCAGAATGATTTGTCGAACGATGAATAAGTTTCTCTTAAATTTGTAAGTATATTTAGACCGCAGATTTCTATGCACTTGTAGGATATTTGAAGACGTAAAATTGCACACAATGCAGTTAATATGAAATAATATATAAGATATCCAGAATATTAGTGACGAAGGAGATCTTTCTTCTTAATTGCATTGTCAAAAACGTGAATTTTCGTAAAAATTCGTCTTAAAACGTTAAAAGTCTTGGAGCTTGTTGGCACGATACACGAGAGATTCGAGGATCACGCTAGAGTTAGGCAAATATCGAAGTATTTGCTACCAAGTATCTTCTATCAAATTGCTGTAGTTGGTCAATCGTTTGATCTCTTGGTGCGAGATTAGGCTTGGAAACTCTGCCAGTTTTATTTCGGCTTGAACGTAAACCGACTCACCGAGATTCGCAATTTATGGCTTCGTTCATGACCACGGTAAATGAAAGTGTAATGGTCGGTCGATTCTCAGAAAATAAATCGCTAAGATTCGCTAGAAAATTATTTTAATAGGCAACGTTCCATCGGGTAATAGCTTGGAAGCAATTCAAACACTGTTATGTTTATCCATGTCACAAATGCGAAAGATACACTCGATAAATAATTTACATCCTCGACTATAGTGTAAAAATCTAAATAATCTAAAGGAAAGGAAAAAAAATCGATATCAAAGTAAATATTATATAAAAGCAAATATGTACGATATATACAATCAATATGATGCGATACCGCACTCTACCTTCGATAATTTTAGAAATCAATATTTCACGAACTCTCGTATTTCTCGTGCAAATAATCTATTAGGTTGTCCGAAAAGTGTCTTTCTTTTTCAGACACGTGTTTTACAACAACGCATCTTTATACAAACATGAAACCTAATCTGTCGAACGTTGTGATCTTCATTTCGATAGAACAAAATGGATCATACGTAATTCGATGAAATAAGATAAAACGGTAAATATTGTGCATCCATTATTTCCTTGTAAAACGTAAGAAACTTTTCGGACCATCTAATATAAAATATAAAAGTACTACTATTCATAAAATTTTCTGCTTGGATTATATCTTCCCTAAATATCTTTATTTATTTTTGTATTGGCGCGAGATACGGAGCTTTGCTAATTCGAAAAATGTAGTTTTATTTCACCTATTATTCCGTAATATTTAACATTGATATTTATTGCAAAGATTATTTCATCGTGTTATTTATTACATCGCTGTGTTATAAGAATTGAATTGATCTAATTAATTTGCTTAATAGTATATATTAGCTCGTTAAGAT